TTATATTTTGTTTTTGTGTTTCGATACACTAAACTGACTAAGAAAGCTTTGATATGGGTTAGACTAATTTGCTTTAGCAATAAAGGGAGAAAAATGTACACGAATTTAATAAAACCAATGCCTGTTGAAGTAGCTTGTTTAATTAGAGCGACAGTGTAGGGAAGCGTCTAATTTTAAATTTTTTTCTTTGCATTTATATGACTATTTTTGTGTACTTTTATGAGAAAAGGTATGTTTTGCCTCATTCTCCATTGGAGAATGATGCATATACCGAATGGAGTCTTTTACATCTCTTTCTGCACTGGTTATGTCATTGTCTCTTTTTACATGAAAATTGAGATAAGAAGGTTTCTTATATTGGTTATATTAGAAATTGAAATAAGATTTCCTTTTATTTAAATGAGGTGTATGACCATTTTTGATTTGGGCTCAAAGTTCCTACTTCTCCGATAACTAGCCTTTATCTCGTGTGACAAGAATAGTCAAATCGGGAGACTATGCGAAAATGTTTTAGGAAAGCCCAGACAAGGCTTATTCAAAAAGTCTTCAACTGGTATTATTTGATGTTTGCTGATCTAGACTATGATATTTGATCTATCTACACTGAATTATCCAAGAGGTTTGTTAACAGGACCGAATTTAGCTATGCCATGGCCTATGAGCCTCAAACATGACGAGGAATGACGAACAACGAACGTCGAAGGGCAGCCGAAGAGTAACGAGAGAGACGGGGGTTGTGGGTCAGAAGATAGAGACGCCACTTTCTACTGCCTCTCCTCCTTTAAGACCTCGGGGATGTGGCCGGCCCTGCTTTGTCGCATCTGGCCTGCACTATCTAATCCGAACAGACCGTCATCTCGTTGAGTCTGCCCATTCAGTCCAAGCTGTCCAGGCAATCTGGGGCAGATGCACATTGTGTTTGGCCACTGTCGGTTAACGGCTGGGTCGGGAGATCATCCTGACTCATTGATAAATAATGATAATAAATTATAAACGTTGTATTTGGTGCTAGGACAATAATTCCTTGACTTTGATTAGTAGGAAATAATTTAATATTATGGTTGCAAGTATACCCATCTTACTCCGTCTAGTTATTTGTCTTTACTTCTGCCAAATATTTTCCTTCTGTTAGCTCATTCATTTATTATTTATCACTTGATGAAAAGACCACATCTTTGCAGAGTATAATATTAGGAGCCCTTCTAATCTACTAAGAACACAATTGTTCAGATTGCCACTCACATTATATTGAGTAAGAATGACATCTATATACATCTTATTTAATAGGGCCACTTAACAATAAATAAATAAATGTTTAAGTTCACTGTCAAGTCAAAGCTCATGAATTCTTCATATATGCGTAGGAGGATGGTATATTTAATATAATCCTTGCTCTAGAATAGACAAGTATACTATATTTGCGATAGTAAAAGTTAATCTAATTTCACTTTAAAAGGTTAGCAGTACTTCTCACACTACTACAGTACTTATCAGCAGTACTATTCACTAAACAAAATTTCTAGCTTATGGTCAAAATTCAAGTATTTGTTATTAAATACTACTAACTAAAGAAGTTGTTTGACCTTGTTTTCGCAACTTGGTCATATTGGTAGGAAGACTTAGAGGAACGCACCT